TCCTCTCTTCCCTCTCTGCTCCCTAGATACCATGATGTGAGCAGCTTTCCACGACCAGACCTTTCTACCATGCCATTTCTGCATTTGAGCCAGCCAACCATGGACTGACTCTTCTGAAACTGTGAGCCAAAATAAATCTTTCCTCCTTTCAGTTGTGTGTTGGATATTTTGTTTCAGTGATGAAAAAGCGACTAACACAGCAGGCATGTGTGTACACATGTGCGTTTCCCAGGACCTGTCCACAGGTGTGTGTATGTGTGCTGTGTTCAGGCTACTAGATCAGCCATCCTGGGAGTAGCCAAAACGTCTGCAGCTGGCTCACGGCAGCACGCAGCCTCTAAGCCCAGGTTGGTGCCAGGCAGGTAGAAAGGGGAAGAAATGGGCAAAGCCAAGAGCTCTCTAATTCCCAGATGGGCCATCATGCCAGACTTTCTGGCTGCCAGCCCATGTCTGTTCTGCCAACCCTGGGCGCTCCAGTACAGGAGGATCCAGGAGATGGGGCCATCTCCCTCAGGCTCTGTCCTCCAGCCTTCCCATCCTTGTCTCATCTGCCCACCTATGGACACCCTGGTCCGAGGTCTGCAGGTGTGGCCAGCGGACGATCCAAGAGCAATGCCCACACAACCCAGGCCCAGAAACCAGCCAATTATGGGCATGGTCCCCATGGGGAGAGATAACCGCTGCCCCCTGAAAAGCCACAAGTCAGCAGGGGCCTCTAAGGGAGTGACAGCCAGAGCATGAACTGCCTTGCCTATTCAAGGCTCAGTCACAGGAATCCAAGGACTGGGGAGAATACCAGGCTCACGGACATTCTCTGGCCCTTCTCAGGGTCTTGGGGTGCCGACACTGAGGCACTGCTGGAAGGTGTCCCATACGATGATGTGCTGAGGGGACCCCTCCCACTGGATTAAGATACCTACACACTCCATGCTCACCTTGCCTTTGCTGCCCAAGGGACCACAACTGCCCCAAGCTGGGGACAGGATGAGACCCCTCCTTAGCCCTCTCCTGACCAGAGAGGACTCTACATCTCCAGCCATGTGCCCTTAGACCCCCAGGAACATGTCCAAGGCCTTACACAGTGACCCCTTCTCAGTGAAGCCCTCTAGGATTGAACACTCTTTGGGAGGTGAGAACACTGCAGGCAGGCTTCAGGCAAAAACCTGGCCCATGCCCAGGCCTGTTGTGAGCTGAGGCGGCTCCTACTAGTGTGGGGGAAGCAGCCCACCCTTGGGGAAGAGTGCCCTTTGGGGCCTTCTGTGCTCACTCCCAGGCCCTACTTCTTAACAGCTCTTCTGCCTGGATGAGGACTTTAGGGGGAGTGAAGTTGCAGGGAGCAGCACTGAGATAGGCCTAGGCCCTGGGGGAGCAATTGGCTTCTTCCTGTTTGTGTTCAGCTCAAAGCTGGAGCAGCCAGGTTCCCTAAGCTGGGACTTGCCACCTACGTGTGTCTGCAGAGCATGAGGGGCAGGCAGTCAACAGCTTTACCCACCCTCAGCCTCACCACAGGAGCCCCAGAAGCCAGGGGGAGGTATCAAGGCCCAGCCCCCAAATCCTGCCTTCCTCCTAAAGCACATGGTCAAGCTTAGTGCTGCTGGAGGCCACAGGATTCAGGAACCAGGGCTTCCTGTCCCCCACAGCCTCTGCCGGAGGTCCCTGCAAGGCCTCTGCCCCACCCTGCCCAGGCCCCGATTCCCTACTCCTCCCGGACAGCAAACCTGGATGAAAGACCTGGCAGGCAGCCTCTCCCTCCCCCAAGAGCTCTGGCCCCTACTTGAACAGCCCTCCTCATCTGCTTCAGGCAAGGGCACGGCCAAGCCCACTCCCATATCACCTTCCACTAGCATCCGTGTGCCTGTCCTCCCCACCCTGAGGGTAGGAACTTTCTCTTCTGTTCTCTGCTGGGGGCAGTGAGTGTGCCCAGAGGGAAGCTCCTCTCCTTAGGCCTGGCCCCTGACACCAAAAGGAGTCCCAGCTTTGCCTGCCTCCCAACAGCTGGATGCTGGCTGGATGGGGAAGACAAGGGCTGCCAGAAGTACCCTACTGCTGTAGGGGGACAGTCCCGAATCTGTGGTCAGCATCAGCCCCTCCCAGGGCACAAACAGCTACTCTCCTGCCTGCCTGAGGAGAACGTGTCCCCATTGTCCATCCCGGGGAAGCTAGCTGGAGTCGCTTGTCTCCTCCCTGGGAGCAAAGCCTCAAATCAGTTACCTCCTGGTCCTCATAGCCTGGCCCCACAGGTTGGAGCCACAGCCCTCCTGAGGAGCTGGGGTACAGAAGCCGGACAGACTGACGTAGACTCCCATCTGCTGGGCAGATTTGTCCCCTCCATCCCTCAGGGTTCCCCTGGATGGAACCAAGATGGGCAACATGTACACATGTATATGGATGTGCCTACATGTCTGCTCTGTGTACGTGTGTGCACATGTCTGCCTGTGCGAAGACCTGAATCACAGCTCACTCAGTGGCAGGCAGAGGGTGACTGCCACACCTGCATGGAATGACAGTAAAAATAAGGCCCATAGAGCTTGCCCGTCTCTAGATTGGCTGTCCCGGTATTCTCCCCATCCTTGTCCCTTGTCCTGGGGCACAATGTGGCTGGGCACAAATGCAGGGCTGCTTTGCCCCCTGGGCCCTGCAAGAACCTCTCGAAGCAGCTGCCCTCAAGACCCAAGTGCACAGCACTCGACCCACATTCCCACTCCTGTGCCCACAGCCTAGACACACCTAGGCCTCACCACTGTACCCCACAGAGCTGCCCCTGGATCCCTCCCCGCCTGGCCTCTCCCCACATCCCAAAGGGCTGTCTTGAAAAGGTCAATTCATTTCTGAAAATGGAAATCCTCTCACAGAATGAAGCTCTCGGCATCTGGGACAAAGCCCAGCCCATGGACAGAACAAAGCTGCTCACAGCCTGAGGCTGATGGGCATCAGCAGGCCACTTCTGGAGAGGCAGGGTGGTGCCTGCGAATCCCACACACAGCCTCATGCCAGGACAACCCAGCACCTACAGCCTCCTGGAAGCCCTGAAGCCTAAGGGCCTATGAGCTTATCACCCCCTCCAGCTCCCTCTCATCTCCCTGTGCCCTGCAGCCCCTCCTACTCCTCCTTCCTCCCCTCCCCCCTTGTCATTACCCCTGCCCCTCCATGGTCCCCCACCTCAGAAGACAAGCTAGGTGTAGAACCAGACCAGGCTCAGCAGGCAGAGATAGGGTTTGGGATGGGCTCAGGCTGAGCCAAATGCTGGGTGAGAAGGGCACTCCAGACTCAGGGTTTGCCTTAGAGGGAGTCAGGGGCATGGTACGGAGCCCCAGGGGAGCTCTGTGCTTGCTCTGAGGACAGCTGTCTGATGTAGGTAGCTCCCCTCCTGGGGGTCAAGGGGAGACTCACCTGCACAACCATCTGGAGAAAGCTGGGGGTGTCATATGGTGGCTGCAGAGCCAAGCAAGGAGCAGGAGGTACAGACGCCCACCCATGCTGCCACTAAAAACAACATGAGGCAGTGGTCCACCTTCCTGTGGCCAGACTCACAGGGAGGAGGCCCTGGCACATGCCCAGGGAGGGCCTCTGAACATAGCCGCACTCGTGCACAGCAACTGGGTGGCAGGGGTCTGGCCACCTCCAACGTGCAGGTGCCCAGTGCTGAGGCTGGGGTCGGTTGTCCAGCCCATACCCTTGCCATACCTGGACCCCACAGGGTCACCATTCACAGGCCTAACCCTCTCTCTGTCCTGTCTCTTGTTTCCAGGAGCTGTGAACTGACCTAGCACCTACACCCCATCCCACAAACACCCCAAACTATGACATTCAGCGCAATGCAGCACTTCCTCATGGTTGCTGCCTACCGTCCCTGACTGTGTGGGGCCTCAGTCCCCTCCTAGGTAAGAAGCTCCCTCTGGGCACAAACACAGACCCCACCCCGGTCACTTCATGGCAGAGTCCAGGGGGAGGCTGGGAAGCCACTCAGCATCCCTGGACACAGCCTTGGGCTTGACAGCCTCTGGGCACTCAGGGCAACTTACAAGGCTCCTGCCCTGACCCAGGCTTGGGACATAGGGGCCAAGAGGCTTGACAGAGCAGTTCAGGAGAGGAACAAACCTGCTGGTATAGGGTGACAGCCTCGGAACCCAGAAGGCAATGGGCATAACTTTCATGGGCACCCCCACCTCCTAGAGTGAAAACATCCTCCAGACACCATATCCACGACAGCAACTGCCCTGAGATGTTCTGGCCATACATCCCTAACTGCCCGCAAAGAATAGCCAGAGCCAACCCTGCCCAGAAATTGGGGCTGAAGAAGCCAGGGGAGGAAAAAGTGGGGAGTAGAGAGGGATGTGAAGATCAGCCCAGAGCAGAGTGTAGCTCTGACCACTCAGCAATCTGTCTGAGCAGGGACAGTGTACTCAGGGCAGGGACAGGAGTCCACATAGGAGTAAACTGCCCTTCTCCATGGCCTCCCATGGCGCGCTTAGCTTTTGCGCATGTCTGTGTTCCTCTTTTAGCAAAAGACAGAGCTCGGTTGTCTGTGGCCAGCGAGCTCTGTTTCCATATGTAGATGTACAGTCCCCCAGGTCCCGTGTCCTGCCAAGGACACACACAGAGGCCTCAGACAGGTGCAGAGTCACCCACAGAAACCCCCATGCGGGCAGACACAGGCACACATGCGCATGCACTGACAGGCACATACCATGCACACACACATGGGTCAGCCGCAGATACCCATGTGCACAGACAAGGGCGCCCAGGTGCACATAACCCATGGGCAGACCCCACAGCATGCAGATGCTGCACAGACAAGGGTGCCCAGGTGCACATAACCCATGGGCAGACCCCACAAGATGCAGACGCTGCGCAGACATGCACATGTGCCTCAGCTGCCTACTGGCAAGTTGCTGGATAAGTGGGTGCCAAGGAGACCCTGGGATGGGCCAATGGCAGGCGCTGCAGTGCTGTGAGGGAGCCCGACGGTGCCACGTCAGCAAGTGGGAGCCGCCTGCCTGCCTGCCTGCTGCCTGCCTGCCTCTGACGAGCAAGCACATCAGCACTGCCACAGGGTCGGGAACCTGGCTGGAAGCTGGCTGGGGCTGAGGCATCTGCCATCAGGGCAGGTCCTGAAAGCCCCCTCGCATCAGCGAGGACTAGCTTGCAGCCCCACTGGGCATCTGTCAGTTGAGTCTGCACCTCCACTCCCACGTCTGCCTGCATTCTGCCACCGACTTGTAGCCACAAGTCTCCAGACAGGTCAGTGACAGGAGCAGCGGGGCAGGCGGGGCTGCAGTGGCACTAGGGGGGCTCCCGGACACTGCAGGTGGGCGCTTCAGACTCTGCAAAGGTAGAGATGCGCCTGGGAGGTGTGTTTGGAGGGGAGGCAGCCTAGATCTGGCTTTGTGTAACAGGGACAGGAGGGTGGGGCTTCCCAGGAGGCGGGCTCAGCCGCCCTCCAAGGAGGGGTCTTGGGAAGGGAGATTATCTGCCCCAATTCCTGCTGTCCAAGCATGTCAACTCCCGAGCCATCACCGGACAGGGCTGCCACGGGGCACTCTCTTGCCCCGGCACTGAAGTGGACAGAGTCACCCTACATGTCGCTGGCCTGGCAGGGTGGCCGAAGCTCCTCCAGCAGCCAGGTCACAGTGCTTCTGGTTGCTTCCTTCCCAGAATCCAGCCCAAGGAAATCCCTGCCCAGACACGCACCTCCAAGCCCCACACAATGCAGGCTGCTGCATGCACAAAGCCGCCTGAGACCAGAAGCACCTCCTTCCTCACCTCCATGAATGGCAGCCGCTCCCAGGAAGGCAGCACTGAGCCCAACACCACCTCCACCGAGCCGCTGTCAGCTCTCTACGTGCTCCTGCCGGCTGTGTACTCTGTGCTCTGCGCCGTGGGGCTGACTGGGAACACGGCTGTCATTTATGTGATCCTGAGGGCCCCCAAGATGAGGACAGTGACCAACGTGTTTGTCCTGAACCTGGCTGTGGCTGACGGGCTCTCCATCCTGGTGCTGCCAGCCAACATTGCAGAGCACCTGCTGCAGCGCTGGCCCTTCGGGGAGCCTCTCTGCAAGCTGGTGCTGGCCATCGACCACTACAACATCTTCTCCAGCGTCTACTTCCTGGCTGTGATGAGCGTGGACCGCTACCTAGTGGTGCTGGCCACCGTGCGGTCCCGCCGTGTGCCCCGGCGCACCCAGCGGGGAGCAAAGGTTGCTAGCCTGTGTGTCTGGCTGGGCGTCACCATCATGGTTCTGCCCTTCTTCTCCTTTGCTCGTGTCTACAGCAACGAGCTGCAGGTGCCCACCTGTGGGCTGAGCTTCCCCCAGCCAGAGAGGGCCTGGTTCCAGGCCAGCCGCATCTACACACTGGTACTGGGCTTTGCACTGCCTGTGTGCACTATCTGTGTGCTCTACATGGACCTCCTGCGCCGGCTGAGGGCCATGCAGCTCCACTCAGGCGCCAAAGCCCTAGGCAAGGCCAAGAGGAAGGTGACAGTCCTGGTCCTCACCGTGCTGGCTGTGTGCCTCCTCTGCTGGACGCCCTTCCACCTGGCTTCTGTGGTGGCCCTGACCACAGACATGCCCCAGACATCCCTTGTCATTGGCATCTCCTATACCATCACCAGCCTCAGCTATGCCAACTCGTGTCTCAACCCCTTCCTGTATGCCTTCCTGGACGACAGCTTCCAAAAGAATTTCCGCACCATGTTTCTGTGCCAAGGGCCCTGAGAACCACCAGCCACTCCTCCCAGGTCAGGGGACGTCCTGCCTGTTTACAGCACACCACACCCCTATGTTCCCCACAGGCACAGACCCTGCAAAGGGCCGCCACCAAGAAGGACCAGTGTAGTGTGGTCCTGTCCTTGTCTCTGCTTCCTGGACAACTGCAAGGACTCAGATCCTGGTAGCAGGCACCTTGAATCTGGTCACCCAAAGAGGATGGACGGACAGATGGCCCCCCAGAACCCTTCCATCTCCTCTCTGGAACCCAGGCTTCCTGATAACAGAGGCCTAGAAGGGAAGGGACCCAAGCTGTAAGCTTGTCCTGGAGCTGGTGCTGTGCTCCACAGTGGGAGCCCCTGGGCTCCTTCAGACAGGACAGGGAGGTGACAAAGGTGTAGGTACCACGGAGCGCAAAGCCAAGTGTTTCTGATGAGGCTGAGGACATGGGTATCAAATGAAGCCACAAAATGCATCAACGGCCTGAAACCCAATGACAGCTCACCAGGGGACCCATCCCCTTGTACCCCACCCCCTCAGCCGTGGCCCCTTCATATCCTGATGTAGGACACAGGGCCCTTCTGCCAGAGCCCTCAGCCCCATCCCCTAAGGGCCGGCTGACCCTTGGAGGACCTGGCATCTGAAGTCCTCTCCGTCTTGATTGGGCCTGGGAGCTGGACTCAGCCAGCAGAAGCTGGAACTGTGGGGAAGCACAGGCTGCTCAGAAACCACTGCCACCTGGCGGGCCTAGGCCTGGCTGCCAGCTATTCTACACCTACCATGTCTCTCTGGCCTCACCCAATGGCAAAGTCACCACGTGGATTTCAGACCTGGGGCCCTGATATGTAGGCCCAGCATTCATCACCCCTGGGCGCTCAGGGCATGTGCCCCTGCCCCCACTCCAAGCCTCCTGGGCAACTAGGCCTTTGCCTGAATTCAGAACAGCACCAGCCCCCTGCCCACTGTCCCCTGCATACCTCCAACTCCAAACAACCCAGATGTTGCCTCTGCCCAGCATCTTCCTTGTTCCTACACTGTATTAGATGCCTATTGCTGTATGACAGGTTTCTACAAAACTTAAGAACTACAAAATAATAAATGTTTTAGATGCTGAGAGCCGGGAGCCTGGAAGAGGCTTGTCTGGGTCTCCCCTGAGATTTCAGTAAGGACACTGGCGAGGCCAGGTCCTCTCATGGCCGCACAGGGACTGCGGATCAACTCCAAGCAGGCCGACTGTCAGGGATGTCACTGTACAGGGCTGCCGTGGGGCTGCATGAGTGTCCTCTCGGTGTGGTGCTGCTGACCCAGGGCAGGGATCAGAAACAGCCAGGCCTCTCCCCACCCCTTGCTGCCTCCCCATTGCTGACCCCAGCCCACACTGAGGGGGATGTTCGTACTTTCAAATCATCACCCAGACGCACAGCTCTGCAGGAAGAACAAGGCACCCAGGGTCTGTTCCTTCCTGCAGTGCAGTCACACCTCCCAAACAGCCTAATTACCAGTCCACACACTGTTCCTGTACACGCCAGCTCCTTCAGGATGAGAGCTGGGGCTTGCCACTGCCTCGTGGCAGAGCCAGGTGCATGGCGTAAGAATGCGCGAGGGTGAGAAGAACAGCAGGCAGGGACACCGAGGAGTGTGCCAGGCTTGGAGGCTAACGTGCCCTTGGGCTGGGCCGGGCCCCACTCTGCCCCGTTTGCCCTCACCATCTCCACAGCAAAGCAGGTGCACACGAGGTTTCCTCTACAAACTCCAAGTCCTTGATTCCTTCAGGACGCTTCTGCCCCATCCATGACCTCCCGGCCCCTCTGCAGCTCCCTGGAGCACCACAGGGGACTGAGACCGGCAGGCCAGGCCCAGAACAACAGAGGACAGAGACAGAGGTACTTACTTCTTGGCAGGGTCCTGCATTGTGAGCTCCTGGCATCAGGGAGGGGCCACCCTGAGAAGCTTACCCTGACAAGTCCCCATGTTCTGGCTCCTGGCTCCCTTTCAGTACCCAAATTTCACTCCCATAGCAACCACAGCCCCTTGTGGGGGAACCTCAGCTGAGCCTGATGTGTGGCCACAGCGCCCCCTGGTGGGAAGATTCCAAAGCAGCCCTGAACCAGACTTGCCTGAGGTCCAGCGGGTCTTCACCAGCACCACTCCAGACCCGGGCCTCCCCCGACCCGTGAAGACGGCTCTACAGTCCTCTGCACAGGGAAGGAAATCGAGGCTTAGAGGAGCCAGTCTTGACCAGGCCCAGCAGCGGATGAGGCGGAGATGTAGGCAGGGGTGCCAGGGAGCGAGGGAGGGGCCCCGAAAGGTGGCTGGTCCAGGAGGGCCATGGAGGCACAGCCTCTTCCAATGCCCCTCCCCGGGCGCTGGCCCCAGATGTTTGCCCAAGGCGGAAGGGCCTGCAGCCCAGGGCCACACCACCTCCTGGGTGCCAGGCCACTGTAACTCCCCTAGGCCTGTTCCTCTCAAATTTTTGCTTGATGGTGAATTTTTGTTTTAATAGCAATATGTCTGTTAAGGACTATTTGACCCATGATGGCACTGAGAGGGGGCACTGGGAGGTGAATCTTTGGGAGATGAGTAGGTTGTGAGGTGACAGCCCCATGGAGGGATCAGTGCCCTCATTAAGAGGGTACAAGAGACTCTGGAGCCCCTTTCCATGGAGAACAGAGTGAAAAGACACCCCTCACCAGAACTGGATGGCATAGGCTCCCTACACCGGGGCTCCCAGCCTCCAGAACCATCCAAAATCAACGTTGGTTGTTGGTAAACTGCCAGTCTAAAGTGCCTTTTTATGGCAGCCCAAGTTAATAGTCCATCATTAAAACGTGCATAAAACCAACCACTGGCTAACTGCCCTACCCTGGAAACCTGTCCCCTGACCCAAGCCACACCCTGCCACCCTCTCCCAAAGCCCCTGGGGTACAGTCATCTGCCTGCAGGTCTCCTGAGCTGAACTGGGCTCACACAGGAGCCAAGAGGCAGATCCCTGTGGCACAAGTTGGCCTGACCACCTGTCTCCACGCTTTGCCAAAACTCCACTCAGATCTGTTCATGGAAGGGAAAGTGAACAGGGGCAGGATCTGCAGAGGTGAAATGGATAAAGGGAGCCTTACTGCCCAGGAGGGGCATCCACCAACTCTGGCAGAAAGAGGTGGCACTCAGTTGTGTAGGGAGAAACTGCTAAAGGGAAGGTAGTGCCCCCTGCAGCATGAACTAGCTTCCTTCTCACCCTACCTGTATCTTGCAGGAGACTCTCCACCAAGGACAGAGCCAGCCTGTAAGATGTACAGACCAGGCAGGACTCCGTGGCCTGGGCTCTACAGCCCCCTCCCCCAACATGCCAACCCAAAAATTACTTCAGCAGCCAGTCCCCACATGGCCAGGGCCAGTCAGTGAACAAGTGTTTATTATGGCCCTCCTTCCTTACCCCCAGAGATGGGTTCCAGGCTGGCTACATGCATGGGAAATGATACACATCACATGCAGAAATATGTAAAGAGGCATGTTACACCAGCACAAATTCACAAAGCTTTCAACCTTGGCAAGAAGCACTGAACCCAGATGGCTCCTGTCACAGGCATCACAGAGTCCAGCATCCCCGGGAACAAGCCCTGTGGCCAGGGCTCCCCAAGACAGAAGCCTGACCCAGGCCCATGTCTCTTGAGGTCCCGTGACCAAGATTTCAGTGGAAGAATAGTCTTTCCAATGTTGCAGGTATCTCAATAGTTCGTCAGAGGAAGAGCATTTGCAACACTGTATGATTTTCTAGGTGAGCACAGCAGGGAATTCCCAAGGTACAGAGACTCTCCCAATGCCCCCAAAGCACAGACAGTCCTTGCAGCTTGGCTCAAGTCAGCCCTGCCAAACCCCACCCTTCACACCAGCTGGGCGTGTGAAGCCAATCTCTGATTTGGGAGCAAGCTCAGGCCTTACCCAGAGGCTGCTAAGTGCAGCAGGCAGTCACTGGGGGTGTGGAAAGAGTACATCTCAACTGCCACCCTTCCCAAGGTACTAGGCCTCCTTCCAGCTGTATCCAGGCCCCTGCTGGGCCCTGGTTTCAAGCAGAGCAGAGACTGTGAGGGAGAGGCTCTGGGAGGTCATGGGACCCTCTGGACAGAGCATGTTCCCCTACCCTGCCCTGAACAAGCAGTCAGGATCAGGCACACAGAGCCTCTGATTTGTGAGCAACAGAGCAGCCCATGGAAGTCACCTGGGACCTTCCTCCTCAGCCACCTCTGCTTCCCAAGAAGCAGAGCTCGCTGCATGGTCTATGCATGATAGTTCGCACTTCTGGAGACCACAGGTTCCAAGAGCCAGGCCTCCTGTGGGCTCCTGAAGGGAAGCAGAAGTCAGGCCTAGGGCCAAGCCAAGGTCAGGCAAAGCAAGCAACAACTGGGTGGCAGGTCCACATCCATAGGCTGCACTATGCAGCAGGAAGAGAACCTTCAGAAAGCACTGGGCTCAGGACCCACCTGAGGCCTCAGCTGGGGACTGATAACCCTACTAGGGTAACCCTGGCTGCACAGATAAAGTCAGAATAGGCAGGTGCTCTAGGGGACAGCTCCAGGCTCAGGGACAGTGCCACACCAAAGAAATGCTACCCACTTTGTTCCTGGACAGTGCCAAGCCTGTCTGGCTGACCTAAGGAAACATGCAAAGCTGAGGGCAGCTGGAGCCCTGCCATGTAGACTGCATGCAGCAGAGTGTACACACAGCTTTAGGGCTGTTCCACCTCTGGCAGGAGCCACTGAGAGCACACAGATCAGCTGGCTGAGCCAGAAGGTGGGGAAATCATGTGAAGCAGTGTGAACGCAGGCCCCAGGCAGATGCATCCACAGAGTTCACCAAGACTGCAATGGTACTTCCAGGCAGTGTCCTTGCATCCTCTGGTCCTGATCCAGGAGGCCAGCTTTAGTCCAACAGAGGACACGCAGGCAGCCCTAATGCTTTGACTTGTCCCATGATGTCACCAGGTCCTCCCCTGGGGCCAAGCATCCCTGGGCCAAAGGGAAAGCTGCTCAAGGCTTCAGAAGCTGAGGCTCGGGTGTCATTCTAAAGAGCAGTGACCTGCGTGAGCTCCGTGTTCGGAGTAGATGGGCTCTGAGGGCTGACAGGCACCATGGGCAGGTCCACGCCTAGTCATGCGGGCCGTGGTACTGTCTCAGAGGTCTTGCAGCCAAGGGCCACATCCTTGGCAATGCTGCGCACACGGTCAGACACCTGCATCTCCTGGTGCAGGGCGGATGTGCAACAGAACTTTCGGAAGCAGGCCTTGAAGTTCTCATCCAGGAAGGCATAGAGGATGGGGTTGAGACAGCTGTTGACATAGCCGAGGGCTGTGCAGAAGCGCAACATAGCCACGGTGGTCTCACTACCCGGCTGAACACCCAGGCCTTGGACCAGGACAAAGACCTGCACAGGTGTCCAGCAGCCCACAAACACAGCCACCACCACCAGCACCAGCCGTGTGATGCGCCGAAGGTTCCGGTCCTTCTCTCGGGAGCCTGAGAGCAGGCGGACACCACGGAGCCGCCGGATCATGAGGCTATAGCAGACAGAGATGATAAGGACAGGGATGATGAAGGAGAAGATGAAGATGCAGACAGCAAACACAGGACCCCAGTAGTCCTGGGGGGATGGGATCTCCACCAGACACTCGATCTCTGCAGAGAGAGAAACAGGGTCAGGGGGGCCACTGGGAGCCATTGAGCCTGGTAGAAGGAGGAGCCCACCCCACTGACCTTCATCTTCCACCTGTGCAGAGCCCATGATGGCAACTGGAACACCAACCACAGAGGCCAGGGCCCAGATGCCCACATTGACAGCCTGGGCTTTGCTGGATGTCCGGATGTCAAGAGCACGGATCGGGTGGCAGATGGCCACATAGCGGTCCACACTCATGGCAGTCAGCGTGAAGGTGCTGGTGAACATGTTGTAATAGTCGATTGCAATGACTGTCTTGCACAGGGCATTCCCAAATGGCCAGAAACCCAGAAGGATGTCTGTGCCCTGGAAGGGCAGCGTGAGCAGGACCAGGGTATCTGCCAGGGCCAGATTAAAGATGTAAATATTGGTAGCTGTCTTCATCTTTGTGTGCCTGCAGAGAGGACAGAGAGAAGAAAGGTTCCATTTGTCCACTCTGAATGAACAAGCCAGCGAAGGGCAAGAGTCTCATTTTGTTGGCCACCACGGAAGATACCAGCCCTGAGTCCCTCAACAGCAGAGTCCCCAAGGGAGCTTGTTAAATGGCAGCATCCTGGGCCGGGGATTTAGCTCAGTGGTTTCGCTGCCTGCTACGCAAGTGCAAAGACCTGAGTTCGATCGAGTTCGATCCCGAGTACCAAAAAAAAAAAAAAAAAAAGCAGCAGCATCCTGGACCCAACCCTAGGCCCACTGAGTAAGTCAAACTGGATGTAGCCCAGGGGCAAAAGTATTTTTTTTTTTTTAGTACTGGGGATTTGCGCTTGTGAGGCAGGCAGGGTAACCACTGAGCTAAATCTCCGCCCTAGGGGCAAAAGTTTTAGCAAACTCCTGAAGTGATCCTCTCACACACAAAAGGGTTCCAAGACTTAAAGACTGGCCTGCTTTGGAAAAGCCGGCCCATGTAGGGTACCGGAGCATGCACTTGACTACTGGGAACAGAGGGGTAGGAATCACGAGAATGAACCTGCCACCCTCAGGTCTCCCTCAAGACATCGCACAGACTCGCCTGCTGGCCTTGTGGTGCTAGAGGCTTCCAACAGCCCCAAGGTCTATAAAAGCTAATCACAGGCCTTTCTACTCCACACTGCGATCTGGGCACAGAGGGGAGCTAATAGGGTCTGACTGCATCCACGGGCCTAGAAAATTACAAGTGGTTAAAAAATATGTACTGGATGAATTAAGGGCCGTAACAGTGGTGAAAGCAGGATCTGAGCATGGCGGTGCAGGTGATGGCTGCGACGATGGGTGACAACCAACACCAAGTGGCGGCAGCCACAGAACCAGAGACGACAAGTTTTTATTTCATTTTTTGAAATAGGGTCTCGCGATGTAGTCCAAGCTGGCCTTGAACTCACAATCGTCCTCCCTCAGCCTTCTGAGTGCTGGGATTACAGTTGTGCCAGTGACAATATTCCACATCAATTTAGTTGCCGTGAAGGCATTTGGGGTTTAGTTCCATCTCTAGAGAAAGATTACGAACAAGCCCAAAAGCCTTCACTGCAACTAAGTAACAGTAATGGCAGTGACAATGGGAGAGAGTTATGCCAATCTCTTCACATGGGTTTTGTCTCATTTGAGATTCATAAATGTGCTATATTGACCCTCACTCTATGAAGGAGGAAACTGAGGCTCAGAGGATCTAAGTACCTTTTAGAGGTTTTTTTGTTTTGCTTTTTGTTTTTTTGAGACAGAGTCTTGCTATGTAGTTCAGGCTGGCTTTGAACTCATTTATGTAGCCCAAGCTGACTTCAAATTCACTGCAACCCTCCTGCCTCAGCCTTCCAAGTACTAGGATTACAGACAGGTGCCACCCACACAGTCTAAGTAGCCTTAGAGTTGGTAAAGAGTGGAGCTCATAACCAGGTGGTTCTGATTTCTGGCAGCCACCAAAGTCCACTGGCTCAAAATATACTGTATGTGGACTCTTGAGCCAGCATGGCCCCAGCAGTTCCTAAGCATCGCTCTCTGGGGAACTGGTGGACAAGATGCCCTTTCTTGTCTGCCCCAGTACAGGAAGTGACTCTGAGAGTTTCAATGCCCCAGCATAGAGGAGAGACACAGGAGTGAGGCACTTGTCATAGCAGGGATGGTCACGGCACATGGCTGGCCTGGCCCCTGCACTTCTGGACCGTGACACGTCCTCCAACCATGAAGGGGCATGCAGGTCAGGGAGCAGTCTCCCTAGGGCCCTTCCCTGGAGGGCAATGCTGGGGAGCACAGCTGCTCCTCCTCCTGCCTTGTCTGACCACACATCGCATACACACGCATAGCTAGACGTATGCTGCCCCACATTCTCTGCCACAGTGCACCCCGTGGTGGCGCTCATGGTACACTCCACAATCATCCCTGTGATGCTCCCACCACTCCCCCAACTCTGTCCCCACCTCCCCAGCTTCCTATCTGAGCACCAGCTCTCATGGGCTCAGCCACAGCTGACTGCCACAGCCAGGGAGCCCTGCAGCCAGAGAGAGGGAGCTTCCGGTCCATCCTAGCACCAGTCAGTCCCTGTGTCTCCTTCTGCCCATCTGAGGAAAGGGGTCACAAGAGCCATCTCCTTGGGGTTACTGTGGGATCCCATGAGGCTACTCACACTGTCAGCTGGCATGGAGCCTGGCTGCAACTTGAACCGGGCTCAAGGTGGTGACGTCTCAGCCCAGGACAGTCAGAGACAGAGTAGATGAGCAACCCAGACCTCAGAACTGACCTTACCCCCTGGACAGGGAAGAAAGGAATCTAATGGGGGAAGCAGGAAATCTCCACTTGTTCAAATCCAACTACAACAGCCCCCTGCCTCAGATTCCCCCTCCACAGCTGTGTGGAACTCACTAGTCGGGGACCTTAGTGGGCTCAGCCTACCTGAGGATGACGTACATGACGAGGCAGTTTCCCAGCAGCCCACCAATGCACACAGCCAGGTAAAGCCCCACGATGGTGACCTTGAGCCCAAGAGGCAGGAAGGCACTGTGGCTGGCATTGAGCAGCAGATGGGGTGGCACGCTGTCGTTGGGGCTCAGAAGGGACAGGTTTCCCTGAAGGTGGCTGCTGTAGAGGACCTCCCAGAATGGGGCAGGGAAGAGAGACTCCATGCTGTAACCCTGCAAAGCCACTCAGTACAGAACCTGAGACAGGCACAGAAACAAGTGACCACAGTACTGGACCATGCTTGCTGAGTCCTCAGAGCATGGCACGGGCAGCCCAGCAGGCACTGGGACCCCCCCACCATGGGCACCTGCAGACACCCAAGCACTCACATGAAGACACAAGCACGCATATACACATGCAGAAACACATACAAACAGGAGAGCAGGTCCAAATGCAGGGATTCATGGAACATAGACACACCTGCACCCCGCTGGACATCTCGTATCACATCTACAGCCTCACGCATGGTCTGTGTGGACACGGTTACACAAGGACACGTATCCACCTGCTGAGACTCAGGGACACAGCTACCCAGTCTCGCAGAAGCAGGGATGCACACACGACACAAAACTGTCCGAAACACCCTCATGCACACCCGTACACAAGCGACAAGCCCAGAAATGCCTGTGGCATAAATGGCTGGGCACAGCTTTCTCCTGCCTCTCCCAGCCCTGCTGAGCAGCCAGCCACACCCGCAGCGGCAGCAAGCCCCCCATCTCCTGTTCCGTAGACCCTCACCTCCAAAATGTCCTTGGGTGGTAGGATTGAGGAGACCCTAACCCTCAGCAGGGAGGGCAGAGAGGCAGCTGCGGCTGGGGCTGGCCGTCCCCGCACAGAGTCGAGATGGAGCTGTGGCGGCAGCTCCGACTCAGCAGATGCCAGACCAGACGCAGCAGCAGCAGGAGCAGCGAGTTCAGCAGCCAAGAGCTCAGGGCGGGGAGGAGGCTGCAGCTCCAGAGCAGGCGGCTGCGCAGGCTGGAGGAGGGGCTCGGGAGGGAGGACCACCCAGCCTGGGCCACCTGGGCCCACACCGAATGAAACACACACAACATCAGGGCACATGTTAAAATATGAACCCAAACACCCCAGACAAAGGCATGCGCGGGCTGGGACACAGGACAGGGATGTCCACAGGCCACAAACACAGAATTGGAGACACAGACCGGAATTCAGACACAGACACATAGGCACAGACTCAGACACAGGACAAGGCTGGGGGAGACGCACACAGAGATGTGCGCACTCAGAGGCAGATGTGGGAGCCCAGTACACATGGACACAGCTTTGGAGCATCTGTGCCGGTCCAGCCTTGGCTGAACTTCCCTGTCCACAGCTGTACCCCTCAGCCAGGCCCCCGTGGAAGCCAAGCCACAGCAAGTAGACAGATGACAGCGCCCTGGCCTAGGCAGCTCTCATCAGGTCAGAGCCTTGTAAACAAGCAGGAGGATGCCTGGGCCCAGGACCCAGTACTGCTGCCATACCTACTTGGTGCTCCTTGTGCCTAGTATGAGCACAAAGCCTCAGAGATATGAATCCACCTAGCAAAAGAGATGGGGGAGGGGCCAGGGATTTAGCTCAGTGGTTCCGATGCCTGCTGTGCAAGCACAAGGACCCGAGTTCAATCCCTGGTGCCAAAAAACAAAAAGAGATGGGGGAGAGCTATACCAAGGGCAGCTCTATAAGGAGGGGCCCCAGAGATGGGCCCTGGCACACACACCAATAAAGGGCTCTTTCAGGTGGACCTCCCTCAGAGGGTACAAGTGCAGTCCCCTGAGATGAAAGATCACAGGTTAAGGCCATGTGGGTGACCCCTGCATGTGGTTCCAGACCCCACCTGGTCATGGTGTTGTTCCTCTTATAGTGGCTGTGACAGAGAGCCAGACCTCCCCCCACCAGCCAGACCCTGCTCCTTCTGCAAGGATGGGGACCTGGTTGCTAGGCAACTGGCTACAGTGTTGCTAGGATACCTATAGAATCAGGAGAGGCTGGAGCAGGCAGATGCCCCAGGACTTAACATCCCAAGCTGTCCCCTAGGACTTGTCTCTGCATCTCCACTGCAGCTAAGACTCAGGGACACATGGATACTCAGGAGACACATTCCTGCAGATACACACAGAGACACCCAGACAGGAAAAGGTTGAACACAGAGATGCAGGTACACATTCAGGGATGCACACGGGCACACACACACACACACACAAACCCATGACAAGGTGTATGAAGGCACATGGGCAGACATAAGAGAGGGCAGGTATGGTAGATTAACTAATGGTTAACTTGGAATGCACAGCTGAACTGAGTCAGCGTGGTTCTGGGTGTGGAAGACCCACCTGAGGATTGTTGCCAATGGCATAAAAAGAAAGTTGGAGGGCCAGAGATTTAGCTCAGTGGTTCTGGCACCTGCCGCATAAGCGCAAGATCCCGAGTTCGATCCCTGGTACCAAAAAAAAAAAAAAAAAAAAAGGAAAAGGAAAAAAAAGAAAACTGGAGAGGAAAATCATATGCTGTTGATTTTCCTGGAGAAGCTAGCTGTGGCTAGTTTTCCTGATACAAAGTTGGCTGTTCTCTTCATCAGAGGAGCTCAGGTCCTTGCTGTGGGGGATGGCTGCTGTTCTCGTGAGGGGAGCTCTGGTCTTTGCCTTGAGCGTCGCTTCCTGGCTCCAGAGCAGATCCCTCAGCCTGGTGGCACAGGTCCTTCACCCCCCTGGCACAGACTTTCTAGCTTCCACCACTGGCCTTTGTGCCTTCCTGGTGCAGATCCTTGATACGGACTTGCATAGGACACTGCCATGGGATCCAGGCCTTCAGCTGGACTTGTGCGGAACACTGCCGTGGGATCCAGGCCCTTGGCTGGATTCTTCAGGTCTCTAGCAAGTGGACAGATCTCTTGCACTCTTCTGCATTTGACTTCTGCGGTGAATGTTCTCAAATAATCCTATAAATTTTGTGTCCTGTATTAAACCTATTCACTTGCAAACCCTGGCTACAACAGCAGGGATGCCTGTGAGAACAGGCAGACATGGCCCAGGCTCACAGACACCCAGGGACACATGCATGCACACACACACACTGTGGGCAAGCTTGACCCCATGACCTCAGGAGCCTGGGGAGGCCACAACTCTGGAAGCTCTGACTCCTGCAGCCCCTTCGCCAGGCAACTCTGGGGCCCCTGGCCCAGCTCCCCTCGCCTACCTGCTCACTTTACAGCCTAATTTCCTAGTGGTCTTCAGTTGCCTCCCAGCCCAGGTCCCAAACTGGAGGAGAGGATGCTGCAGGCACGGTGAGGATGCGCAGAGCCACAAAGGGAGCCAGTCTGTTCCTCTCACGTGGCTCTGGGCCTGCTCCTCCCTGCCCTCCCTGCACAGGTCCTAGGCCCTAGCCAGCTCCAGTCCTGTCTTTCCCTGCCCCAGCCCCACCCACCCAGCAACTCAGCTACACAGCTGCCAGGTGGGCCTGTGAGCTCTGGGCTGGGCAGATATCCCTGAGAGTGTGTCAGCAGGCCTAGCACACAGACCAGGCGGAGGCAGCTTCTCAGCCCCCCACAGGCACAGTCCCAGATAGAAGGACGGATCATCTGGTCTCCCGGTAGGTGAGTGGCCAGGATGGGATACTAACTCCCATCCCACAAAAGGAGACTGGTAGTGAGAGGAAACAGCGCAGGCTTCTCTTGACCCTTGGCTCCAACTCAGCAAGGGCAGCAGGCCCCTCTAGAAGGGCACAGGTAGAGCCAGAGCCCACAAGGGTCAGCAGGAAAGAGAATGTACCACCAATCCACACATCATGGGCAGGCAAAACAAAATGTGCCAGAACACCAGCAACAGCCCAAGACAGAGCTCACACAAATGAGCACGGAACACACATCCAGACTGTGGCTGACGCTCACAAGGCTGCAGTGGATATCATGGCCATGTGGGCAGCGTGGGTCCCAGAAACAGACTCACACACAGTCAGGGCAAACACCCCTCACTCTCACACCGAGTTCACAGCCTTCGGACCACACAGGCTGACTGGAGTTCTGGCCCTCACCACCTGGGCAGGGATGCTGTCTGCCCGCCCCTCCCCACATACTTCAGCAGCCCTGCCCTTGGCACCAGAGAGCAGGAATCAAAGCAGAGGATGTAGCAGCTCCACATGGGACAGCCACTGGCTGGGGAATTTAGTCACCAAGCCACACGCAGTTAACAAAGCAAAAAAAAATTAACAGTTCTGAGTTTCATCAAAATAAACCACTTCATCCTTGTGATTTTAACTTTATAAAATTTATATATAGGACTGGGGATGTAGCTCAGGGATAGAGCATTTGGCCAGCATCCACAAGGCCCTGGGATCAATCCCTAGCCCTGCAAAAACAAACAAAAGTGGGCTGGAGATTTAGCTCACTGGTTCTGCTGCCTGCCTTGCAAGCACAAGGTCCCGAGTTCGATCCCCGGTACAGAAAAAAAAAAAAAGAAAAATACCCAACCAAACAAAAGTTATGTTCAACAACGAAAGAATTGAGTTGCAGCTTTTCAATATGTTAAATTTTGTAGTCATTGAATACAGCTCATTAATTTAATTTTGGGGTTTTATTTTTAGAACTTGGTGCCAATAAACACACTTTTAGATTTCCATTGCCTTCAGAGAACATGGGAGTCCTGGGGACAGCAACAGTGGCTGGCCCTGCCCATGCAGGAGCACCTCCCTCCCAGCAAAGACACAGGCCTCTGTGCACCCGGCATGCACTGGGCCTCTGAGCACCCTTGCTCGGAATGAGGGGAGGGAGCATCAGTGTTTTTCATTGGAACAAAACAGAGGAAAAGTGACAGAGTACCTCCTTACAGGAGAACAGAACATTCCCTGCTCCCTTTGTGACCCCACCACCACCACATCAACAGGAACCTGCAAGCCTCTCGCCCCTGTGTCCTCCTGGCCTGGACCCCAGGAGGCTGGGAGAAGGGCCCAGATCCCAGCCCCAAAGGGCTCACAGGAGGCCACAGATGCATCCCCAGTCTCAGTAGGCTGCTTGGAGGAGAGGGCCTGTAGGTTTACCGCCCCTACTCTCTGCTTTCTCCTGAGCCCAGAACATTCCTCCTCAGCAAGCCACACCTCAGAGGCACATGTAGGAAAGAAGGGGACAGTATGAGGAAGGGCTTTCTGAGCACACGACTTGAGTAAGGCTAGAGGGCTGGAAGGAGGGGCCCTTGTTCCATTCAGCTGTGACACGGTCATGCAGGCTCAGGGACATGGGCCACAGACCCACAGTTTAGCCTCTCACTGAGAGGCCAGGGCAAGCTTCCAAAAACAATGAGAACAGCGTCCTGCAGAAAGGCCAGAACCTCTGCTGAGACTCAGCCCTCTACCTACAGACTTAGGCTCCAAACTCCAGAAGGCACCATCCACCCATCTAGGAAGAGGGTGAGAGTCATGCACAGGATCTGGAAGTAACATAAACATTAATATAAACTAGTTCCAAAGACCTCTCCAGCCAGGAACCTGGAGTCCACAACCAGAGAATAGTGCGCGGCGACCCAGGCTGGAAAGCCCAGGGGTTACTTCGACTACCTGGGACGGGGCCTCGAGCTCTAGGCACAAAACCGACCCAGCTCTGCCCAGCCCCTCCTAAGGGGGGGCCACCTGGCCCTGTCCGGTTGGGGGAGGGGCGGGAATCCAGGTTGCCGAGGAACCGCGTCCAGGAGCCCCGAGAGTCCAGCTGAATTGGAGGTTCCCTTGGAGAACACAAAGTATTGTGGTGTGCAGGCACGGTGCACCGCAGCGCGGCTGCTGGAGCTGCCCAGTGGGGTGGGGAATTGGGGCTCGAGGGAGGGGCACGTGACCCACAGAGAAAGGGACGTGGCCTGAGGGTGGGTGGGGCGCTGTGGGCTGGGTTCCCTTTCCTCTGTGGCCCCTCCCCACCTATCATCTCCTCCATGGACTCTGCTTCGCACATCGAGACCCAGCAGGGGACAGGCCAACAGGATGGGGACGGACGCCCCTGCAGCGAGCCCGCCCTCACTGGACCCAAACCTCTCAGCCACCTACGTGTGCACCTGCTCACACACACATGGACAGACACTGATCCACACACAGGACCAAGCCCTCCAGCCCCACCCTGAACACTGAGGCCCGCGTCCTGGGCCCCGCACAGAGCAGGACACACCCGGCTGGGAGGGCGACTGCCTGTGACTGCCGATGTCAGCCCTGAAACCTGGCCTCGAGCACAGCAGTCCCGAGGTCCCCAGCCCGGTCAGGGCCTAAGGTCGCCTGAAGGGAGCTCCTTTTCTCCCCTCAATGGGAACGGCCTGTGGGGCGCGAAGGGCAATTCCTCCAGCTCTAAGCAGGTCCGGAAGTCCTAGCTGACTGCAGGACTGAGGTGTTAGGCACATGCGCAAGGCCGGGAACCGGGGGACGTCCTGGTCCCTCCACAGGCTGGAAGATGCCCTCGCTAGGAGCCGGGCCCCGCGAGGGGCGCACAGAGCGAGCGACTGCCACAGAGCCGCCCAGGCCGGGCTGGGCGCTGACGCTGGAGGGGCTGGGAGCCATGCCCCCCACGCAACGCCGCCGCCACCCGCTGTTCAGCGACCTGCGCGAGGACGGGGCCGCAGCCTCCTCCCTCTCCCCGCGCGAGTCTGCGGAGCTGGCAACCCGCATGCCCGACCCGCGCTCCTGGACGCAGTCGCTCGACCAGCCGGCGGGGCGCGCGAGCCCGCTCCTGAGTGTTCTCAAGGCGGCGGAGGTCCGCGGACGCGATCGCGCCCTCCGGCTACGCTACATCCACATGCGGGTGAGCACGGGGAGCACTGGGCACCCTGCGAGGGGGAGGGGGGCTGGCGCAGGGGGCGCCGCTCAGCTGCCCCGGCCCGCAGGCGGAGGAGATCACGCTGCTGATCCGGCAGCAGAGCTCCGCGCGCGCCGCCATCCGAGTGGAGCTGTTCCTGACGCCACAGCTGAAGCCGAAGCGCGTCCTGGACCCCCTGGACCGGCAAGAGGTGCGGGCTAGCCCGGGGAGGGGCGGGAGGCCCGAGTCTCCACACACGCTTAGCCCAAGCCCCGCCCCTCAGAGGCGCCACGTGGAGACCATCCTGGAGGAGGCCGCGGATGGCAGCATTTTCCCCCGGTGACGTCGACCCGGTGTGTCCCGCTGGGCCCCACCCTCGTAGATAAAATTCTCCTCTAAGGGCTCTCTGGTCTTTTCCCTCGAAGTCCCCAGGACCCTCGCAGAGAAGGGGCAAGTATGCGCGCAGACTGTCCTACACCACTGGTCACGGACACCAGGGAGATGTCAATGAATGGGTTCGAAGTAGTATGGCGAAAACAGCAGCCCCCAATCCCAGCCTGCCCCTATCGCTAGCTGGGGTCCTCAGAGACTACCAGAGGACCCCAGTGCAGAAGGCAGAACCTGCCTCAGCACCAGTGCCCCCAGAAGCCCAGAAAGTCGGTGTCCCCGTGCACACGGTGGCAGTCTGGGAGAACGCAGGACTACACAAGCCAAGCTGGCCTTTGGAGGGTCACCAGCTGTGCCCAGAGGCAGAGAACCTGAGACATGGAAGGAGTGACCCAGGAAAGGGACAGGAGACCCACCCTCTGGTCTTCCTTTCATTTTGAATAACCTCCTGTGCCACACACACACACACACACACACACACACAGGCACAGGCACGCGTGCACGCGCACTTGAACTCTCACGCTCAGGAAGGAAACCACCTCATTCTGACAAGCCTGAGTCCTACAAGACCTCTAGACTCTGGAAAGCCCCTGGTTTCTGGGCACCTCTTACTCTTTTTTTCCACAGTGTGGGCTCTTTACAGAACCTGGAGTTCCTCTTGGCCTTTCCAGGCCCTATCCAGAAGGCTAAGCAGAGCTGAGCGCTACAGAGAAACGCACAACCCCTGCCCCTGGCAGGGAACTCCCACTGGCTCTGCCTGGAGCAGAGAACAGATGTGGAGGAAAAGGCTGAAGTCAGAGCTGGGGTCCAGCAAGGAATGCATTCATGGTGGCCATTACCCAGTCCTCTAGAACTTCTGTCCCCTCAGCCACCCCTGCTTCCCCTGCACCTGACCCTTTGCCTTTTGCTGGCTGTTCCTGCCCTGGCCTTGATCCAAGCCCAGACTGAACAGATCACAAGTCAGCAGCAGGTCCCAAGGGGAGCCAAGTCTCAGGAAGAGGGAGGTAGGATGAGGGGCAGAGATGGTGGACTTGGGCAGGGGCAGACAAGGAAAGGAAGCAATCTCTCTGTCCATGAGTGGTGGCCACTCACACCCTGATGTGGGCCTCCTGGGCCTCTCCTGCCAAGCTCCCTGCTGTCTGGACCACAGGATTTTGTCTCTTGGGGATTTACTGAGTACCTAGAAGAATTTCATCTGCTTAGTAAAGTCATATCTTATTTATTTCATCACTTCTCTGGCCCTGTATTTCTTCATCCTTAAAATGGGGGTCACAGAGCTATTCGAGGTTGTCCAGGCAGTCCCCCATGCAGTCAGTAGTCCACATGAGCACAAGAGGACACAGGGATGAAGACAAAGCCCAGCACCCTTAAAGGCCACAAAGACAATGGCCTGAGACAATTCAGCACTAGGACTGGCAGGGGGTACCCCTTGATCCCCATGCCAAGGAGGGGCTGGCTCTGCAGGAGAGTCTGGACAAGGTGGCAGTGGGTGCTTCTGTCTGCAGAAAGCCCTACAGAGAAGCAAAGCCTATGAGCTAAGGCCTAATAAATGGGGCCTATGTGGCCGCGTGTGTGTGTGTGTGTGTGTGTGTGTGTGTGTGTTCTGGAGATACCTGATGCCTCCATCACCACCCCACCCAGCCCTCCTGGGCTCCTCCTTGGATTTGGGAATGCTCCATTGCAAGGGGCACACAGGAGGCCTGAGGTGCCAGTGGACAGTGAGAATGGAAGGGAGAGACAGGACGCTGACCCTCACCCACTGCCAGCTGCCCACACCTGCATTTCTCTACCGTGCTTGCATTGCAGGATCAGTCTGGTGGTGTGGCCCTGTCTGGGTGCTGGCCTCCCTGTCCTCACCCATACCTACCTTACAGGACTATGACCTGGACTAAAGCAGCTGCCTCCTGTCCAGATGGGCTTCCTGGCCTCTCCCCACTTGACTGTTCTTTCAGCATGGCAGCCAGAGTGTTCTGTGACCCGGTCCCTGGGTACACAGCATCACTGGCAGCCTGGTGGTCCCCAGGCCCTTGCTCAGCTGCTCTTTGCTTAGCCAAGCCCCATGAGCGCGGTGGAAATGGCTTGCTCTCCTCAGCTCTCGCTTGTTCCATTTCTTGTCAACCCCTCACCCCTACCCACTCTAGCAGTCAACTTCAGGTTGGTCTGTCTGGCTCACTACCTGGCACACAAGGGATCCCAGATAGCTGCTGAATGAATGAAGAGCTTGTATGAAATCTCCGCTTGGCCTCTCTTGGGTTCTGTTCAACATGTGCACATGTGGCTTCTACAATTTGAAGGCATTTTCTGAGCTGCCCGCCACACCTGGAAGATGCCGGGCTTCAGGCAGTGCTGAGAGAGCAGAAGCCGCACAGCTCAAGGAGACAGGAGACTGCAGACCAGATCCAGAGCAGCCTCTGGGCCACTGCACACGGGCCAAAGCATGCTGGACTCAGCAGCAACCCACATTAATAACAACCCAGTCAGAAGGGTCAAGTGTGCCAAAGGGACAGGGACAAAATGGACAGAGGGGCTTTAAGCTTTAAGCCATCCTGGGCAGTTTGAGAGGCAGGGAATGGGTCCGCCCACCACACACACACACTGGGCATGTTGCAAGCACCTGCGCTCTCAGTGAACAGCACCGCAGGACAGCGCCCTCTCCTCCTGGGGAAGCCCCACAGCAGGGCGGCAGGCCCTTGACCCCATTTTACCAAAGAGGCTCAGAAAGGCAAGCACTATCGGTCACTCCTTCCCAGGGACCTCTTCTTGCCCCACAAAACAAGCAGCGCCTGGGGTCGGATCTCGCGTGATGGCCTGAGTGTACAGGGACTACGCTCGTGCCGCCCTCCGAGTGCCTCATCCCTCGGGCCACCCCCGCTACGGCTCAGCGCGCGGGCGGCGCGGGGCGGGGCGGGGCGGGGCGCGGCGGCTGGCGCCTCCGGCTGAGGAAGTCCCAGCCCCTCGCTTTGGGGAAGTGCCACGAGGCGCTTGCGCACTGCGTCCGAGCCCCCTCCCCGGCGGCGGCGGGCCGACCTCGGAGTGCGCGGGCGGGCGGAGGCAGCGGCGCGGGAGCGCGAGGGTGAGTGCGCGCGCATCGCCGGACCGCGCGCGCGGGGAGCGGCCGGCAGACGGGAGCCTCGTAGCCGGCTCGGGGGTACGCTCCCGGGACTGCAGCCAAGGCCCACGTGGACCTGGGCCTTGGTGGGACCGGAGCCCGCCCCCTCGGGCGTGGGGGAGGGGACGCGCAGCAGTGTTCCCCTTTTTCTGCAGCTCTGAGCCTGGGGAAGTGAGTGCCCAAAGGTGGGGGCCGGAAGAACCCAGGTTTCCGCGTCTCCTACCCCCAGAGCCTAGTGGGGAGAGGCCAGGCGGGACACCTCGTCCGCGTCCGCCACCCCCCCCCGTGGGATCTAGCAGCCACTGGGCCCAGCGAGCCGCTGGGGAGGCGCTGCACCCCCGACCCCAGCCTCCCTCCGGAGAGCCGCAGGAGTACCTCCTGCCGCCCGGTCACAGTCCCTGCTGCTGCAGAGCACGCCCCTTCGGCAGCCAGGGTGGGGCCCAGACCGAACCCGGCCCTCCCGCTCCGCCCCGCCTTTGGGTCGCTGGTGAGTGGGGCGCTGAGGCGAGTTACCTAAGGGAGGGGTGGGAGCGTGAGAAGCTGGAGGAAGGGATGCTGCAGACGAAACAGACCCTCTCGGCTAGGAAGGGACCCGCTGGGGATGCAGTGGGGAAGGTATGGCTAGGACAGCAATGTGAACACAGCTCCTCTGTCAGTGCCCCTCCCAAAGGTTATGACATTTTTCTCTGGGATTGTCACATTTTTAAATTCTTTTTTTGGACTGGGCAGACTCCAGGACGTTCTTTTTCCTTCTGTGGAGCAGAACAGCAACCACTCTCCAGGGAGCCTCTGTCCCCAGAGATCAGATTTACTGCCTGTCCGGCCTCTCTCAGCCTGAGGACCATGTGGGGCTGGGGAGTGAGAGGAGCCCCCCAATAAGGGGTGGGAGGACCCTCATTCAGACCCTGTGCTCCCCCCCCAGAGGAGGACATAGGTGGCCCCACTGCCCTGAGCAGGTGCAGTGAGTCAGGTCCAGGGCCTGCAGCTGGAAGGAAGGGGCTGCTTCCCACCTCTTTACCAAACGGCCCCGCGCACCTCACAGAACCCCACATCATCTGTCTCCGGTGCAGAACTGGTTGGAGATGGAGGCTTTCAAGGGCAGTACGGGTGGGGGTGTGGAGCAGGAAGTACAGGCCCTGGGTACTCCACCAGACCTCAGGCTGCCACACCCCTTCCTTTCCCTAGAAATTTGACCCCCAGAAGGAAGCCCAGCCGGCGCGCTACTTCGGCGTCCCCAGCTGCTTGCCCGGAACCCAGGATCTTAGAGGAAGCTGGGCAGGTGGTGAGGGACTGAGGCCCCCAGTAGGTGCGCCAAGTTCGGATCTCAGCATCACCCTTCTTACCGCCACTCACTTCTCAGAGGCTTTGAGAGGCAGCTAGGGTGGGACCGGGATTAGAGGGCCACGAGCGGGGGGAGGGGCACGGGAAGATCAAGCCCGCAGAGAGGGCTTCACCTGGATAGAGGTGGGCACAGGTTGGGGGCACACAAAACTGCTTCCAAGCACAGACTGGCCACCTTCCCCCAGCTCCTCTGGTTTGGGTTTTGTTTGCTTGCTTTGTGTTTGAGACAGGGTCTCACTATGTAGTTCAGGCTGGCCTGGAACTCACTGTGGAGCCCAGGTTGGCCTCAAATTCAGAGCGTTCCTCCTGCCTCAGCCTGCAGTGCTGGGATTACAGGCCTGCGCCACCACACCCAGCTTTTTTTGCTTTTGTCCAATGCCCTTGGGATTTGTGGGCTCAGAAGGTGACATTTTCGCTCCCTGAGAACCCTCCTGTCAAGGTGTGGCCCAGCGTGGTTTGGGAAGGACGAACCACCTTCCCACCTTCCGAGCCCACCATGCTGCCCCTTCCCCTAGCTAGCAGGCCTCCGGTTTTCTCCAGCCTGAAGGCCTTGAGCTGGAAGAGAGAGAAGCTAGGGCAGGCATGAGAGGTGTAAGCAGCTGAGGAACACAAAAACCTTACTCCTGGGCACGGCCCCTCCCTGCAGGGGAGGAAGTCCTGCCCCAAATCGTCTTTGCTGTTGGCCTAGCCTACCATTTCTGCCAAGTGCAAGGGAGCAGTAGGTGACAGTGCTCTGGGCTCCTTGTGAGTAGCAACTCAGCCTGCCCTGGAGACTGGACAGAAGTACCATAGAGGTCCTAATGTCTGAACCCCCAGCCACTAGCTGGAGCCCCAGCCCATTAGGAGGGGCTAGGCACTGGAAACCAAGAAAGAGGAACCCAGACTTCCGGCTTCCCTGTACTGAACAGATGGGGGTGTCTTTTAGGGGCTTCATTTGGAATCCAGCCTGGAAGGAGAGACCAGAAGCTGCCACAGCATACTCCTTACCGACCCCCCCAGCACCCCACCCACCCAGGGCTGGAGGCAGAGAGCCCAGTAGCCCAGGCTCAGGCTGGGGGGCAGGGGCACGTCCTCTCAGGACCCCTCCCAGAGGCAGCCAGGGGTGGGGGTCGCAGATGCTTAGTCAAAACCGAGGCTCCTCTTCCCAGACCCCTGGAGCTGGCACCGCGGAGCCTGGGCAGCCCCTTCCACCCACCCATGCCCACCCCGAATGAGGCTGAGAAGCAGGTATGCTACTTCCTCCCCTCTCCCTAGGCAGTGGGGTGGGCAAACTGGGGAGAGCTGCCGAGAGATCCCTGACACCTGGGGGCTGAAGGGCTGTGCCTGTGGGGTGTGGCAGCCCTGTGTGTCCAGTGGATTCTGGTCTGGAGGCTGAGGCAGGCCCGTCTTCCCCAGCACACAGGGCCAGAAGAGGCGGACAGGCCCCCCTCAATGTCCAGCCATGCCACAGCCCCCCGGGGGGCCCCCAGCCGCAACCCCTGCTGCTTGTGCTGGTGCTGCTGTTGCAGCTGCTCCTGGTATGTGAGCTTGGGGACACAACCTGCTCAGGGTGGGGGGCAGACCCGGGGCCCTGCTCCCTGGGCCCTCTGGTAGCCTCCAAGACATCACCTGTGCGCAGGATGCCTCTGCCTGCTCAGCACCATCCTGTCCAGGAACGCTGGGAGAACCACAGAGAACAAGCTAGTTGACCCTCCAGACTACGGTGGGGGGCACAGTGGAGCAGAGACCCAAAGGAGGGAGCAGATGGCCCTGAGGCACGAAGGTGCTGATGTCTTTGGGCGTCTGCATGAGACAGGACTGGAGCTTCTAGATATGTGGCTTCTAGGATTTCCTAAGAGGATGAAGAAGCTGGCGGGGCCTTATAGAGAGGCCTGGCCCTACCCAGGCTTGGGAACCCCAAGGGGTCTGCTAAACAGTAAGCAGTCGAGGCCGGAGTCCAGGCAAGATACAGAGATGGGGCAGCAGCAGGATTTGGAACAAGGACTGTGTTGCTGCTGAAAAGGAACAGGTTGTGGTGCAAACTGAGTTGTTTAGGCTTTTGTCAACTAATGGATTGGTCAGGTGGACATGGACTTGGGTCCAGCCCTGACAGGGAAGAGGGTTCTCATAGAGCCAGGGGTCAGGATCCAGGACCAGACAGGTACAGACACAGGGAGGGGGCTCTCACCCTGCATCAGCCAGCAAGTTATGACATTGCTGACATTGGCCCTACACTGTGGATCTGTTGGTGGCCTCTTTAAGAAGAGGATGAGCCAAAGACAGGCTGAGGAACAGGGTCTTACACAAGTAGGCCAGGGAAGGGGAGGGACACCAGCAGCCTGCAGAGTCCCAGAAACCCAGATGGTCAAACTGCTGACCAGGAGAAAGAGGGCCAAGGCTGTAGCCTGGCACTGTGGTCGGGACCTGGAGGTATGAAAAGGGCCAATTCCAGGGGCTGCGCTCCCTGTAGCAGGCTTACGTGTGTGCCAGGCTCCCATGTGTCATCCTTGCCTATGTGTCAAGTCCCATCTGGGGCCCTGGTGGTACCCTGGTGCCCAGAGCATCCCCACCTTCCTTTGCTGCCAGGAACCAAGAGCGGCAGCGAGCGTGGCAGGCCTCCCGTGAAAGCAAGCTGCAGCCCCTCTCCAGCTGTGAAGCTTGGTGAGTCTGGCCTCAGCGTGCACACATGTTGGGGATGGGGTGGAGCCAGATGTGACACCCTTGTCCCAATACCAACAGTGCCCCACCGAGCCCTGAGGAGGTGCAGAGCTGGGCGCAGTCCTTTGACAAGCTGATGCACAGCCCTGCGGGCCGCAGCGTGTTCCGGGCATTCCTGCGCACGGAGTACAGCGAGGAGAACATGCTCTTCTGGCTGGCCTGCGAGGAGCTGAAGGCAGAAGCCAACCGGCACGTGGTGGATGAGAAGGCACGCCTCATCTACGAGGACTATGTGTCCATCCTCTCCCCCAAAGAGGTGCGCTGGCTGCTGGGATGGGTGCGGCTGGCTTGGGGAGGCACCCCTGACCTCAGTGCCCTGTCCCACAGGTGAGCCTGGACTCCCGAGTACGGGAGGGCATCAACAGGAAGATGCAGGAGCCGTCCGCACACACGTTTGATGATGCACAGCTGCAAATCTACACTCTCATGCACCGGGACTCCTACCCTCGCTTCCTTAGCTCCCCCACCTACCGTGCCCTGCTGCTCCCAGAGCCCCCACAGTCCTCCTCTGAGGCCTAGCCCACTGCCATGGTGCAGATACTCCACGTGATCACGGACAGAGTCTGGGCTCACAGCCGTGCCTCCACCTGGCTGGATGGGGTTCCCAAACCCTGGAAGCCAACCCAGTCCCAGTGGGAAGTGCTGCACCCCCCCCCCAGCCCCCCGGCTCCATCTTCCCTGGTCCAGCAGGAGCTCCAGCTGCAGGGCAGGGCAGGCTGGAAGCCCCTTGGCAGACTGAAGCTGTAAGCCTAGCATCCCCGGCAGCCCCAAGATGTACCTTGGGCCCCCAGCCTTGACGAGGCCTTCTCCAGGCAGCCACGCCCAGGACGTGCCTTGGGGAGAACAGAGCCTGTACCATCTGCTTTGTAGCAGGACACACTTCTACTTGAGCTGTCTGCATCCCAGAACCAGACCTAGAACCTCAGAACAAGATGTGGAACCTCAGAACCAGGCTTAGGTGACAGGACCTGATTATATTTTATATGTTCATGAACTTTAAACCTGGAAACATATCCTTGCTGTATGTTTTATCAAAAAAAAAGAGAAAGAAAAAATACTTTTTCCATTTCTCTGCCCCCTAAAAATAGGATCTTATCCTTGAAGATGTTTTCAAAATGGGAGCCTCTGTTTATTCCCACTTTGGGGTTGATCAGAGAAGAGGAATCATCGCAGACTCTGCCCCCACCCTGGGCTCTACCCAGGCCCTGCACAGCAGTGGCCCCAGTGGGTGACTGCTCAGCCTGCCTGATGAGCTCTCCTGGCCTCAGCCTTCTGAGCCCTGAGATGGGGCCAGCCCTCGTGAATGTCTGAGATGCGACCAGAAGTGTTGCCACGGACCCACTCATGGTAGTACATGTCTACTCCCAATACTCAGGAGGCTGAGGCAGGAAGAACACTACAAGTTCCAGGCCAGCCTGAACTACACTGTGAGATCCTGTCAACAACAACAACAAAAGTGCTGCCTTGGACAGGGGTCCCTAGTAGATAAAAAAGGTCTCACTTGAGACACGCATACCCCAGCATCCTAGAGTCAGCACAGGTGATCTCTCTGCTGGCCCAATGCTTGCCTCCAGCACTGTCCCTCCAGGGCTAAGCCAAGCATGGCCTGACCCCAAGAAGGAGGGGTGTTCACAGTACACAACATGGACCAGACACAGGATGGGGCCTAGCTATGTTTAGCCCACCGGGAGTAAGGTCCAAGGATGGCAAGATGGCAAAACAAGACATTTAATAATGAGGGGCAAAAGGCAGAACAGTGCATGCCAAGCAGGCAAGCTGGAGCAGGCGTGCCACCTTCTGGGGATCTCCAGCGAAGCTTGTGTCCACCAGGAATGCAGGAGGCCATGGACTAGCCTGGGGCGGCAGCACATCTGCATGAGGGCTCAGCAGAACTGCATGAAGGCAGGGGGAGCCATCCAGCTGTGGCCCTACTTGACCCCCAGGGCAGAGGCAGGGCAGTCACCCAGGTGTGGGCCCCCATTCACTATCCAGACTCCCAGGAGGCTAGCTGAGCAGGCTAGCCTTGGTCCACACCATAGGCTCCCCTTGAGCTAAGACACCCATCATCAGAGAATGGGCTGGGAGGAGTCAGTCTGGGCCCATCCACTTACCTTCCAGCGGTTTCCACACTCATTGCAGACAACAAAGGTGGTCATGGGCTCATCAGAGCTGCGAGTCTGCACCTGTGGGAGGGTGGTGGCACCCTGGGGTCACACCAGGCTCTGCTGCAGAGGGGTAAGCCCTAACAGGCAGGGCAGGAACTGTCAGCTCCTGAGCCCCCTTGCATGACCTGATCTCCAGCTGCCCAGTGACTCCAGCCTTCCAGTGTTGGCCCTATAGGGTAGGTGGGCCTGGAGGGCCTATGCAGAGCCCAGGCTGGAGGTAAAGGTAGGAAGGACCCCAAGAGTTGAGGCCCCATGGAGGGAGGACTGCAGGGATCCCTGTGGCTGTGCCTCCTTCCCAGAAGGACGAGGGCCAGTCCTGCCAGACACTGGGTGCCATCCTAGCACTGCACACAGGGCTCCTCCACAGCCCAAAGAGGGAGGCAGTAGTTCCCACCACCTCTGTCTTGAGATGCACCAGCCTCCACCTCAACCCACTCCTCTCTTCCCCGGGCCCCATCACCTCTTGGCACCCACAGTCTCCCAGGCCCCTCAATATCCACCTCCACAGTAGGGCTGGTGTCCTGTGGCCGCTGTCAGGCAGCACACACCACCTCCTGCCTACAATTATGCCTCATCTGTGCGGGGCAGGATCAGACCCCAGCCTGAGCACCCCAGAACGTGTGGGCTCCACCACCTGAGGTGCTGCTTATAGGTTAGGGGTCCTGAGTGAGGGTGGTGATTCCTGAAGACTCAGGGAAGAACCAACATGACCCCTGCTCTGGCACTACTTTGCAGGTGTAGGGGTGGCTCCTGGCCAGACAGAGGTGCGGACACCCTGAGGATATGGACCAAGGACCACTTGCCTGCGTGTAGGTGCAGTTCTTCTTTCTGCACTTGCCACAGGTGAACAAGTCTGTCTGCGTGCCACCTGTGCGGGCCATCTGGTGCTCCCGGATGGCCTCCTTGGTCATGGCCTTGCGGATCTCCTTCAGCTCATCACTCGCCATCTCCTGGGGTGAGGGGCCAAGTACTTAGCCTGCAGCTCTGCAGAAGCAGCCCCCAGTCTGTCCTGCGGGGCTCACCTCCGACGTCATCACCGCGATCTGCTGGGGTGTTATGGCACCACATAGCACGTTCCTCCGAAGCTCCGGGTTCTTGGCATCTTTAAGGTTAGAGATACGGCTCCTCACACGGTTCTTGTACTTCATGTCTGTGTTTCCCACATCCAGGAAGATGCGTGCAAGTGTTTAAGGACCCATCTGAGGCCACTGAGCTGCACCAGCCTTGCAGGGGGCCATGTGGGGGATGTTCTGCTCAGCCATACTGAGGTCAGCCCCCCACTGAGGCCTGGTGCGGAGCTGGAGGCTACAGCACCTCACTTATCTACATCCACCCCTAGCTGAGGCATAGGCTCATCAGCTGGCAGAACCGGCCCCTTGGCCCATCCAAGGAGGACCCTGCTGGGGCAAGATGCCCCCCACACACATCCCCCCCAGGAAAAGGCAGGATATAGCCCAGAGAGGGTACTGGCACCGCGGCAGTGGTGTCCAGCAGCCACCAGAGGGAGCCAGGCCCAGTGGCCCACAGACTCCACCTGAAGCCTCGGGCCCCCGCAAAGTCTGCACAAAGGATATACTCCTCGATCTGAGCCGATAGACGTTCACAGTCTGTGCCCACTGCCACATGGTCATCTGCAAGAGGGAGCCCTCACTAGCCATCAACCGGCTCCTCTGCCTGCACAACACCCTGGCAGTGAGAGGGGACACTCACCCCCAAGAGCTCTGGCAACCCCAAGGAGCCCCTGCCTACCCTAGAGGCAGGACAGCAGGTTGGGGGAGGAGGCCTCTGCAGCGGCAGGCGCCCAGGCTGTGCTGTACAGCAGGGCATGTCAGGGGCCAGGGCTACTGGGCACTCACGGTCTGTTTGCAGGGCAGTGGTTAGCATCTCACGGCATTTGTTGCGCACAGCATCGCAAGTAATGGGCACCGGAGGAAATGTGGTGATCCTTGGGGTGGATGACATCCTGGGAAGGTCCAGCCTCTTACGGCTGAAAAGAGACAGGGCACACTGGGCTCAAATGCAAGGCCACAGGCACCTCAATAAGATGCCAGTCCCCTAGAAAAGCAAGTGTCAGGGCACCTCTCCTACTTCCGCAGCCCGTTTGTTCCACCCTGACAGATCCTAGCATAGCTGGTGACTTTGCTCATCTTTGTTCAAACCCAATGTGCCCATGAGATCTGCCCAGCTAGTGGGGGGAAAGTGGGCCATGGGGTCCCTGATGGGCCAGGGCTTATTCCTCAAATGAACAGGTGGGCTCCCTCAGGCTGTGTGGACATTAGCAAAGGAAGGCGGCTTCCTGGAGCACAGTCAGTCCTGCAGTGAACAGATGAGCTCACAATGTACATCCATACCAGGGATCTTGAGCTCAGCCTGGTCTGGCCTGGGCCCGGCCACTGCTACCCAGTCTGGTCAAGAGCAAAGTGGCCTGTCACTGGGAGCACCCTGGACCGCCCAGGAACAGGGCCCTGAACACCCTTCCTGGGGCAGTGATGGTCATATGTATATGCAAGGTAGGAGAGGAGAGCCAGGCAGCCACCTTTGGTTCTAGGCTGGACTTTGTGGGAAGGGTCCCATCCTTGAGTGATACTGGGCTGAGGGAGACAGGCAGAGCAGGCCAGTGAAAACAGGACTTGGGAGGGTCACGGGGGAAGTAGCCAGAGGGCTTTTCCTTAGGCCAGCTCAGAACCTGCAGCAGCTCTCTGCCCAGGAAGATGGCAGGGGTCTCCCTGACAGCAGAGCAGACATGGCCACCTATCTCAGATGGTTGGTCCAACCCAGTGCATGGCCATCCAGAGAAAGTGTCCCCCAGAGAAGTGTCCAGGCACATATCAGCTGAGGCAATGGGGCCAGCAGACAGGAGAGTTCACCCCTCCTCCAGGTGTGCTACCTGTGATCCATGGCCTCTGAGGCATTCTTTGTGGACGATGTGGGTAGAGGTGTGTCCCTCCCTGGATCCCTGGTTTTAGCATTGGAAACATCTGTCATTGTCAAAAAAGAAGGGGACAGATTGGTCAGGGGCAGGTGAGCAAGAACAGGTCCCAGCCTCAGTCAGACACCATCCCCATCGCCCCTGCTCCCAGCCCAGCCAGACATGCAAGGTGCCAGGCCACCAGGCTCTCCTGCCAACAGGTCTCTCTCCCCCCACAAAGCCCATCAGCCTCCCTAGACCCTGCCCCTCACACACCCCACCCAAGCACACCATCCTGGGGGCCTCCTCTCCTACCTCCACCCTCAAACAGAAACCAAGCATGTGCCCCACAAGGCTTCTCCCAAGCCCAGCCTCAGATGGAGCCTGCCCAGGCCTCCACAAGGAACCAGGACATGCTTGTACCGCTCACATTCCAATGGTCACACCACTGGAGAGAGGCAGGTCCTGTGGCTGTCCCCAAGGGTGTGGACAGCCCAGGAGAGGCTGGGACCCTTCCAGAGTCCAGATGTAGAGCTGCCTTCCTATCCCACTGGGATATCTCTGCAACCCAGCTGTCCTGTTGCCCAGGAGGGCCCGTTGTCTGCCTAGCCCTTGCCTGCGTGGTGGCCCCGGCTCCTCCCTGTCTCTACTACCTGCATGCATTTCCTGCACATTCTAGCCTTGCCATTCTCCTCTGTGTGAACTCCCGCCATTTGGCCCCTTCCCTCTAGGGCTTCCAATGCCCTTGATGGTGCAACCCAACCCCTGGCCTCAACTTTTTCTCCCTGTTCTACATGGAACCCTTTCTCCTGCATACAACCTTGCCCCACAAATCATGCCTCCCCAGCCACCTCTCCTAACTGTTGCTGATAGGCACCCACCCATCCTCTTCTAGCACCAAGCTGAGCACTTCCAGACCCAAATTTGTCTGGGCCCACTCCCAAGAGCCCAGGCTCTGGTCAGTATGACCAGAACCGTATCCTGTGCCAACCAGCAAAGACCACACATTTCTTGGCTGTCTGCTGCCCCACCACTCAGCCCTCAAGGCCTGACCCGCACCCAGGAGCTTCTTCCAGGACTTGATGAGAGACTTGGCCAGTCCAATGACCTCCTCGTCCGAGCTCTGCTTCCGCAGGGCGTTGACAGACATCCCAACACGGGTGGACTGCAAGGCAAGCAGCCTGGGTTGGGAGGCAGTGGGGACCCACCCCAGGGGCCAGACCACAGGGCGGGGGCTGGGGACCAGCCCAGGAGAGATAACTGTCCCACTTGGAACCCAGAACAGGGTGAGATCTCAGGCATCCCCTCCCAGACTCATCAAGAACCAGCAAAAGGCAAGACCCTCTCCTCATGACAGGTATTTGTGACAATCAAGACCTTAGTGGGGAGAGCCACAGAGCCCTGCCAGATGCCCTTGGTGCTGCTGTCCCCAGAGCTGTCCCAGTTTGGGGAAGGCAGGGCCTACCTGGAGCAGGTGCAGCGTGATAGGCATGGCCTTCAGCTCCCGCAGCAGGTCCATGGCTCCCTCCTGGAAGGAGAAGGGACCTTCATAAAGGACTTTAGATCTCAGTGGACAATTCTACTGCCTACTGCCCATGGAGGGACAAAAGGCAGTAACAACTTGGATATCAGAAGAAAACCACAATCCTCTACCTGAAACACTCAGGGCTCTGCACACGTGTTCTTGCAGCAAGGCAGGGCCCTTAGCAACCCTACCCTAGACAGGAGCAAGAAGGGGAGCAGCTCTGCAGTCTTGCTCCGCAGTTCACACAGCTTCCCAAACTGAATCCATGGTAGCAACTTTTCTGACCTCACTATAATACTTCAGGTCACTGACTGAATAACCAGAGTAGAAACCCACGTCCCCTCCCCAGCCGCAAGGGCCACACTAGGAGGTATAGCCCAGTTCGCTGGCCCCATCCCAGCCATGCTCCAGAGGGTAGGGCAGCTGCTTCCTAGAGTGCTCACTGCCAGTGAGGATGGGCTGGCCCTCAGGCTGCCTTCACTTAGGACACAGCCAAGGCCAGCACCAAGCCCCACAGCTGGCCACAAACTCCTCCTCTGGATGTTGCAACAGACCTCCCTGTTCTCCTTCCTCTGCCTTTCCGAGATCTGCATCCCTCAGTATCCTCAGAGCCTGTGCAGACAGGCCACCCCTCCATAGCAGCCAGGCTCCTCAATGTCCCTTGTGGGTGCCAAGGGACCACCCCAGGACCCCTGCCCTGGAAGCCACTCTGCCCCAAACCCCTCCCAGCAAAACGACAAGGCTCGCATCCCCCAGAGCTTTGTTCAGTCCAACTTAGAAATGGACAGGCTCTGCAGCACCCCGCTCCGTCCTGCTCTCCTGCTTTCCACAGACCGAACCACTTGGCCCTAAGGTGTGTTCGTCCGTATGTCTCCGAGTACCACAAGGAGCAGGCAACCCAGCCCTCCACTCAGATGACCGGCAGCTGAGGCTGTGCAAGGACTTGGGCCTGCCCCCAACCTGTGTGGCTTCTCTGCTCCGGCTGCAGCTCCTCCTCACCCTCAGGTCCTTCCCACTGGGCTGCAGAGAGGCCGGCCCCGAGGGGACCTCCTGAGGGGACAGATGATCCCCAGAGCTAATGGCACTCTTGCCAACAGCAGATTCTGAGTGCTGGGTGACACAGCTTCCAGAGTGGACATAGGACCAAAGGCATAAAAACCCCTAAACATCTCCCACCTCCCCAAGAGACCTCTAAGGTGCTGCAGGCCCCTGGGCCTCTGCAGTCTTCCATCTCCAATCTATAATGTCTCTCCTCCTCCTGAGCTCCTATGCATGCCGTGCTTCCACCAACCTCTAGTTGGGTTCCTAACCCATTTCTCTCCCACCCACCCCGCACATTTGTAGTTTGAGTTTGTCTCCTTCAAGAAGAGAAGCACCGCCTGTCTCTGATCAGCAGTTCATTGCCACCCTGGCTCTAATGCCCACGGCGCCCAGGGACGAGTGCAGCCATAGAGGGATTATTTCCAGCACAAATGAGTGAGACCCTGCCCCCCTTCCAGTGCAGACCCCAGCCAGGAACTCTGCCCAGCAGCAGTCCAGGCTCAACCTTGCACACTGAAAAAAGCCACCCCTCCACCTCCACTGCAGGCACAGTCCTAGGAAGGCTGTGCAGGCCTCAAAAGCCAGTGACTCAGCCCCTCACCGTCCTGGCCTCCCCCAGGAACCGTCTCCTGGGAGGACAAGTGCTTGGGAGCTTGTCCACTACCTCCCGACCCCTCCCTACCCACGCCAGGCAGGATGCAGGTGCTGTCTGCTAAATATGCTCCCGTAAGCCTGCGGGAATTGTTAAGTGTCAGAAGCTGGGCTGGACCTGGAAGGTTGCACACACCACCTCCGAGGCTCAGCGCTGGGCAGGCAAGAGGCCAGGCAGCAGGGGCAGCGCCGGCCCTCCTCCGGGGTCTCATAAAGCCCGCGAGCTCGTCCCAGTCTCTACCATCTGCCCAACCCGACTGGCTGCTGGCTAAGGAAGAGACAGTTTATTAGAGAAACCTGGCTCTTGTTGGGTGGGGACAAACAGGGAGAAAAGGGCCCGCTCGGCTGACCAAGGGGCCCGAGAGGGGCGGGCGGGAGGCCTGCGGGTCTCCGCCCGCGCGGGTTCAGTCCAAAGCGGCAGTCCCGGGACAATGGAAGGCGGGCCCCGGGCGGGGATCTCGGCCGGGGCGGGCTCTCGTCCTGCCCGTAGCGGCTCAACCGGGTGGGTGTCGGCAGGGCGGGGGTCCCAGGGTCCTGGCGGTCCGCGCCCCTCACCGCGCTCTTCCTGGTCACCATCTTGTCCAGCCTCCGGGCGATGCGCGCGATCTCCTCCTCCTTGCCCATCATCACCTCTGGGGCAGCGCCCGCACCCGCTCTACCGGCGGCCCCCGAAAAGACCTGCCGCCGCCGCCGCCGCCGAGACCCTCGCTCCAAACCCCCGCCGCGCGGCCACGCGCTGTATCCTGGGACGCAGTTCCCGCCCCGAGGACCACAACTCCCAGATGCACCCGCGGCACGCACAGCCTCCTGGGAAGAGTAGTCTCGACAGAGCCACTGCAGGAGGCCCCGCCCCACGACGCTGGAGCTGGACGGCTAGAGGGGGCACAGGGGCGGGAGAGGCTTTGGCGAGAGGGAGAGGGAAAGGGTGTGGCGTAAGCTTCGCCACTCAGCCAGCGGGCCCTGGCCCCCAAGGCACCGAGGCAACCAGAGGCAAGGCCCGCGGCTCCAACACCTTCCGCTCTACCCTTCGGGCCTGCTGACCGCGCACAAGCCCTTCCCACTGTGCCTGTCCGGCCTGCGTGCATAAATCCCCTGCCAAGGTGCCTACACACGTCCAGGAGGGTTGAGGGACAGTAGCTGGATGCGGGGTCAGGAAGGGATCCAGGCTGGGATGAGGAAGGAGCCCTGGACCCTTGGGAGGCTGCATGAACAAGGCCCCTGCCTCCCGTGGGTATCCTGGGGAGTGGGGTGCCTACAGATTCCAGGCTCTGCACTGCACCAGTTCTGTGGGAACCATAGAGTCTACCTTACAGCACTCCTGTCAGGATGATATGAGCTAATTCACACCAGACTAGGCACAGGGCAGGGAAGTTAGTTGGAAGCATTGCTGCGAGAAGGCCCCAGGAAGGGCCAGATTGCTCTCAGCCAAAGGGATGGCCAGACCAGGGAGCGGGAGAGGGATATGGCCAGCATCCCCACCATTGCCTACCGCCTCTTCAGTGATGCAGATGCGGCTGTGCTGGAGGGAACACAACTGGGGGGGAGTGCAGGCCAAAGAACTAGTATCTGTAGTGTACCCCCATTACGGAAATGCAGGACAAGAATCATCAGGTCAGATGGCAGGTGGGACGTCAAAATGGCCTAGGCTGACAATGCCTTGGACTCTCAGTGTCATTCATTAGATATGATTGAGTTTCCCAGGAGCTGGCGTGGAATTCCTTATGAGTAACAAAGCTTTTCCAAGGCAGTGGCCCCATGATGAATGAACACAGCTCCCCCAGCTTCCACACCTGCTCTGATTCTCCCCTTTCCTGTAAGCTGGGGTCCTGCATCTATGCCCAACCCAACAAAGCAAGTCCTTGTGACCAGGGGAGGCTGAAGTCACACACCATTGATGATAACTAACCACACCGAGGAACTGACATGAGTCCTGTAGAACCCACTGTGGGGCTGCCCTTGTGCAAGAACCAGTAGGAACCCCAGATGTGGCTTGGAAGCTCCAGGCTGCAAGGGCTTCTTAGCTGGCTCACAATCATCCATGAGGTCATGTCCATGGAAGCTGCCAGGCCAGCCCTCAAAGACACAGGCTTCCAAGGGTTGAGCTGATTTAAAGACCACCTGAAAGGAGCCCACCCCTGAGCTGGTGCACTCCTCTGACCACCAGAACTGGGGATCCTACAGTGCTGGCAGAGGCTGACCACAGAAAGGCTCTTCTGCTAGTGCAGGTGGCATCAGCCCAGCACTGGGCAGGCAGGTGTGTCCCCACATGACACTAAAATAAGCAACAGAAAGGAGGGAGGACTAAGGCAGATCTGGAGCCATTGCCTTTCTGCCACAGGAGCTTGCAAATTCCTGGCTGGGAAGTGGGGTGGGCACATTCTCTGAGCAGGTCCCCTTCAGGGACCCATCTGATTTCTCCACAGGAGGGACAAGCACAAAGTTTAGGGGAGAGGAAATACAGTCTGAGGAGCCACCCTTGACCTCACCTGGACAAGTTGACTCAGCAAGAAGATTTTTGTTGGGGTCTGGTTTGGTTTTGATGCTATAAATTTTTTAATTTTTTTTTTTTGGAACCAGGAGTCTTTTTAAAAAAATTTTTATTAGTACATGTTTTCAGTAAATATTGATTGCATTCATTGTAGGGAATTAGTACATGTATATAACACATCTAAATTCTTTTTTCCCTTCCCCTCCATCCCACTTTTCTTTTTTTTTTTTTTTTTTTTTTTTGTTGTTGTTGTTGTTGTTTTAGTACCAGGGACCAAACTTGGGACCTTTCATTTGTGAGGCAGGCAGCAGAACCACTGAGCTAAATCCCCAGCCACAGATTCATTTATTTATAAGTCCTTATAAAGTTAATTATCATACATACAGATTAACAACTAATCAGCAAAAAACCTATCAAACACATAAGACAATTATACTAAATCAAGGTACACTATTAGATACACCATCCATGCTGGATTACAACAACATTTTTTCTTTCTTCCTACTACCTCTCTTATTTTGCCCTTTATTTATATATTGAATTTTTCATATAAAAGAAACCATGCAATATTTAAGCTTGTGTGTCTGATTTACTTCACTTCAAATTTATGGACCTGGGCTGGGGATTTAGCTCAGCGGTGCCGGGCCTGCCTTGCAAGTGCAAGGTTCTGAGTTGGATCCCTGGTACTGAGAAAAAAAAAAGTATGGTCCTAAGGTGCATCCATTTTCTATGCCTAATGGCCTTGTGTAGTGACTCTTGATGCCCTATATGGGGAGCCCCCCTTGGGTTCTGGGACCCTGTCCTCTGTGTAGGTAAGAGGTGTGGGCCACATGCCAGCCAGGGTGGACTAGGACCTAGGAGAGAAGCTGAGAAAGGCTGCAGGTAGCGCTCCGAGACAGAGGATATTCCCAGTGGGGAGGTGCAGAGTGGCCTGGAGTGTGTCTCTAGCCGACAGCCTTAGCTAAGCTATGGAGAGAGAGGGAAAAGCTGCTGCAAGGGAGGGACAGGTCTGGGTGAAGTGGGAGAGAGGTGCAGGACAGGGTCTCACCCTGATGGGAAAGAGACTGGTAATATCTTCCCAGACTGTCCACAGAAATGTGTCCCACCTTCACTTATGAACAAAACCATACACGATGTGTGATCAGTAGGGCCTGGGACTGATGCTCTGAGCATCACTCAGTCCCACATATCCCCTGCTGCTGGCAAGTGCAGTGGTCACTCCACCCAGCAACACATGTCTTTCAGTGAGTCAGTAAAGCAGCACTTGACTTCTAGATCACAAATTTTAGAACCAGGCATGGTGGTGCATGCCTCACTCAATCCCAGCACTCAAGAGGCTGAGGCAGGAGAATGGCTGCAAGTTTGAGGCCAGCCTGGGCTACATAGTGAGTTCAAGGCCACCCTGGATTACATAGTGAGACCCTGTCTCAAAAAACCAAAAAACTCAATCAACCAATCACAAAATTTTGGGAACACTTTCATATGTGTGTTGGTATAACTGGTTTCCTTGGCAATCCTGTGCATTTCATTCTGTTCCCTGGGACAGGAAGTTGAGAAGGCACCACCAGCTACAAACTAGGACTCTGCTTTGCGAAGCCAGAGTGGAAGTCTAGAACCATCTGCCCTGGATCCATTTTCCTCCTCCATAGGATGCCAGGTGGCCTCTGCCTCCTGGGGCCCTGGGAGGGCCACAGGAGACAGTTTGTGAGGAGTCTCCCGTGTCTCACTGGGTCTCCACTGCAGCCCACAAAGGCTGCAGACAAAGGGAGACCAGGCTACTGTGGCCCCTAAGGATGAAGACTGGGACGCTGGCAGGCTCCTTGCAGCAGGGCGGCATCCGGAGTGGCCCCAGCCTGTGGGGCTAATCAGCGCATCCAGGGAGCATGGCTGGACAGGTGTGAGCAGCACACTGGCCTGGCCCACAGCAGGAGCAAGCCAACCGGAGGAAGGGAGCAGACTGGACAGGTAAGCAGAGGGTAGCAGGAGGCAGGCTGGGCGGGGCTGAGGCTGACTGGTCCCAGTGACATGAGGACCAGCAGCCTGTAGATGGCGGGCGTGAGCCACAGATCTGCTTAGACTTGGCTGCCCACTCCTAGGGAAGTCCAGTGAGTTCCCAGCAGGGACGGCACTGCCCAGCCACGACCATGAAGCCAGCAGGGTGGGAACGTGCAGTGCTGAGGGGCCCTCGGTTGTCAGCCCATGATGCCAACCAGCCCCGACACTCCCAACCGGTCTTAGAAATGTTCATTCCCAGGCCCTGTGTAAGCGCCTGACCTTTGGGTCCTTACTCAGAGCAGTCACGCCCCACCTCGGACCCCACCCTGGGCCTTGTCAGCCTTCTGAACTTCCTCCTCCACAGAGCTTTCCCTGACGACAGCCAGGGCCTCCAGACCCTCCTGTGCCAAGCACTGTACTACAAATGACACGAGAACCAGTGGATCCTCCCTTGGGGTGTTCGTGGCAACAGGCACTGCCGGACCCCCGGGCTCTGTGCAGTGGAAGGGGGTGCCACATGCTTCTCTATGCCCCCAATCTCTGGAGACTGGGGGCACAATAGCCTGGTAGGAAGGCGAGGGCCAGGGTTCCCGGGGGCACTTCACTCACCTTTCACCTGCCTGCCACTGGGGGACTTCTGCAGCTCCTGGAGTGCCCAGGGTGGGGCTCCTTTGTGTTGCACCCTGGTAGAAGTCCCACTCCCATGCCCCTTTCTGGGAGCTGAGCCCTAAGTTTCCTTAGGGGTTTTGCCTCCTCCTGCAGGGGATCTTCTGCAATGGTGCCTTTTCAAGAGACAGAAGCTGTGAATTTACCCTCAGTAACCCTCAGTGAGCAACACAGCCCTGTCCTGGGGAAGCTAGGGGAAGAAGCCCCAGCTTGGAGGCCCTCACAGGGTCTGGGGGATACCCCCAGGGTCCACCCCTGGGCCAGCTGCACCTTTGGCCCAGAGCCCTCCCCTCCTCCGATTCTCAGTCCAGGAAACAGCGGAAGCTCAGGCCATTTATTTTTCTATTTGCATCCCCCACCTCCCCAAAGCTGGCCGTGACCCCAGTGACCAGCATCTGCGCTTCCCCTCTGGCTGAGACAGGGCGGTGGTGGGAAGGCTCATGCGACCCAACTCACACGGAGCTCCCTCATTTCCCAGCACCATGGCGTGGGGGGCATCCTGCAGCCCCTAGAGCCTCTACCTCCCTGCCATGGGAGGGGCCAGCCTCAGTCCATCAGGCCCTCTAGACCACCGTAGGGACTGCACATTCCCCACTGCAGGGCTCTGTGGAGCTATGACTTCAGGCAGCTCCACCCAGGCCTCTCTTAGAGGTCAGACGGGCAGTGGT